CCCCCGTGCGCCAGGGGCAGCTGCGGTAGCAGCAGCAGCGTGCGCACTGCCAGGGACGGGGAAGCACACACGTCAGAACTGCTCTCACGCAGCTGGCAGCGGCAGCTCTCAGTCGTCTCGGCTTCTTCGCTCACGTCCTTCACTCTTCTCCAAACAGAAGATGTACTCAAAAGGATAGATGCTCATTTTCTCCATCTCTTGCTGTGTATTTTGATGCCTCAAGCATCTAATCAAGACACTGCGGGGAGCTGCCGGCTGCCGGCTGGCTCCCTCGCTCATGAGCCCTCCAGCTCTTCTAGTCCAGTTCCACCTTCCTCTTCTGATCACAATTCAGAGCCACAAATCCTTACGGACTGGCTTTTATTCAGGAGCCCAGCTCCCAGCGATCCAATTCACCGAGAAAGAGCCAGCCGAGATGTAACACTTCACAGGTCATCGATAATTACACAACGAGGTGGTTACCAAGGATGATTCCTGACCTCATGACCGATCCCTGAGCCCTGTGTATCAGAGTCTTGCACAAACCTTGTAGCAGATCTACAAACATCTGGGAAAGCCAGCTGTGGCTGCTTACTCTGCTACACGGCAGCAGCCCCAGCAGAACATCCCCAGGGGAACAGAGACCAGCACCTGCAACGCGTACAACCAAGTATTTTTTACTTCACTGCCCGTCTCAACGAGCCACTCGCAGGTACCACAAAACAAAGTGGGCTTGTGAGTGTCCTCCCCGTGACCACCGCTCACCTTCCCAACGTGACGCCTCAGTCTACAAGCAAGGCTTTACGAGCACCCTCTGTTTTTCCAGGGGTGCACTCCCCACTGGCCTCCAACGCCACTGTAATCCAGGTCTCAGCAGTGCTTCCCTCACAGCTCCTTAAGATCTGTTAGATTATCTAAACACACATTTTAAGCGAGTTTCAAATGTTAGTTCTGTCGTTAATCATTAATTTTAAGAGCTTCCACAATCTATTGGCCACATATGCATGTACTGGATAACAGACAAAACTGTGTCATAAATACTCTTTGAAAAGCAGACTAGGAGAATTAAATGCAACGTGGTTCTCATCATGACCCTGAGATCAAGTACCAAAGCGGACGTGGTATTTGAAGAGCGACCCCAGATCCAGCCAATTTTTTCAGCTGCAAGGCTAAACTGTACTGCTTTTGCAGCCTCCAACAGTCTTCACTCCTGTTTATTTGTATACCAGCCACCGAGCTCTTCACCTGATCCAGCACTACGCTATTCCAAATATCACTACACGTGCACACCTTCAACGCTCCGCACATCCCTCTATTTCTTCTCCATCTTCACCTACTTCACTGGGTTACTTCAGGAATCCTTGGATGGTTTCTGAGTATTTCTTTGTACAACACCTTGCACAGCTAGACCTAAATTTTAAATACTATCACTATTTAATAGAAGGAGATTTTTGGTTTTAAGAATAAGTGCTCTTCTCTCTTCAAACAGAAGTAAATGAAAACATGCTGCAAATCCAGCACATTCACCTTGACAGATGCGAGACTGACAACAACATAACTTTAAATACAATAGAAAACCAGATTCTCTTAATTTTCCATAAAAATCAGGTCCCTCATTTTTTTCTTTTTTTTTTTTTAAATATATATTCATACTCAAATATACCTTAGAACAATGACTTTCAACTGGTCACCTGTGGATCCTTGGAGCACTCAGGTATTACTTCCAAGGATCCAAAAACACTGACCAAGTTGTATCTCCCACAGCTGTGGAGAGGCACCAAGCACCCTTCAGGGGACATGGGCCTCCCCTGCAGAAAACGTACAGTGTTCCACAAGCTGGAAGCTACTGACCTAAACCAGTCGCCAGGACTCTCCCACCCATACATTCTACTCACTTGTCAGAGTTGCACGTCTCGGGCTCTTGCAGATCTCTCAGGATGTCTGAACTGGAGCTGAAGGGGAAAATAAGAGACATAAATTATCTTCACCACACCTACAGCAAAGTAGAGCTCTGCTTCACAAAGACAGCAGAACCCGTAGATGAGACAGACCTCTCCCCACAGCACTGGCAACGAGAACTAATTACAATCAGTGAAAAATAATTTCCATCAACAGCACAGTCCAGAAAGTTCTGGCTCTGCATCACAGTTTTCAGAGTTATTACTGGGTCTCATTTTCATTATTTAACACAGAAGACAACTCTCTCTGTTCATGTCTGCTTCCTGGTAACTACGACAGCTTGATCTTCACAGACACCAGGCAATTGCTCTGGAGAGGACTGGCAAGACACTTGGGTGGGTAAAGCAGAACATTTCAAAGGGTGAAGCTGCTTTCAACCTCAAAACTCAAGGCTTAGGCGTAAGCTTACACACTGACCCTAACAAAACAAAAAATCAACATCAAGGAAAAGGCGGGACCGCCGCGCGGGGGAAGGCACCCAGCACACGCTACCCAGGGCCGTCCCAAGCTCCAGCTGCTATCTGCCCCCGAGGTACAGTGGGTTTGCCCTGGGGTTTGATCACATATTCTGAGAAGAATACAACTGACTATGGAAAGATGTATTTCGTAACGCTATTTATTTCTTAATTAAAATAATTAATTTAAAACTTTAATGGTTTCTTTTCTTAGACAAAGGAAAAAAAGCATCTCATTGCCTTGGATACTGAAATTGAGGTGAATGAGGACTGAATACAGCTAGATGTGTCACAACTTTTTCTTCCCCTAAACTTGCTTGAGAAGATGATTTCATTTTTCATCTTCACACATAATTTTACATTCTAACATGACAAGGGAATATTTATTTTCTAAGTCAGTGTTTATATGCTTACCGTACAGAACACAACAAGTCAAACTCAGTACCAGTGCTGGACAGCTGCGAAGCCTGAATGTAAAGGATTTAAGACGGTAACTCTAAATACACAAACAAAGACCCACCCCCCATCATGAGTTTAATGGCAATAAGCTACCAACCTGGCTAACGAGGGAATCGAGCAACTCCTGTCACTGCCCAGCAAGCCTCAAGCTGTTGCCACAATAAAAGCCCAAAACGTCATCCCAGAGTGCTTTTGTAAGAGCAAGCACATAAATGCATAAAGTCTTTATGGTTATTTTGGTTTTTTTTAAACACTAAGACCTACATAAAATTTAAATTTAAAATTTAAAAAACATGTAAAAATCAACCAACAAATTGGAAAACGTTGTTTTCTGGAAACGATCTCTCCAAAAGAGGCCTGGCAGCTCTAACAGCCTGTGGGTTATTGCAGAAATTACATGACTAACGGCGTTACCCAGCAGTTGGGAGGTCTTAGTGTAAACCACGGCACAGCAGCTGGATACCAGTTCTCCTGGATTCACTGTAAAGGTTTAACAACAAAACTCATCCCCTGTTTGTTAGAAGACAGCAGACATAAATCATAAAAATACATGCCTGAAGTTCTAACTTTATACACAGATACGAGTGCGTTGCTATGTTTGTTCAGAACACACCCGAAGGAAAACCGGCCAGAAACACCCCTTCCCGCAGGACAGACCCCAGCACGGCAAAGCAGCGTCCCGGCAGCACGGACACCGGCTGAAGGTTACCCAGGGCACTTCACCAAGAGCCCCTCTCACCAAGCCGCCGCGCGACAGGGCAGCGCCCGTCCC